GCCTGGCAAAGCTTTGCTCCTCACAGAGATCAATCAAAGCAAGAGAGAGACTTGTCAGGGAAGTGTGGGATCAGCTGTTTTCTCCTAGTCTAACTATGGTCTTCTCCTCTCCGTTTGATTCACTTCATCCTTTTGGCGTTTCCCTGGTGGGAAATCTCACCTGAGGTTCTGCAAAGTATTTTAACATTCTGGCTGGTTTGAAACTAGGAGGTTCTCTCTGTTCCTTGCCAAGCACCTTGCAGGAGAGAAAGTGTCCTCATGGTATGGGAGTTATGCCTTTCTCTTTAGGAATAACTGAGTGCATGACCAACAGCAAAGCCCCGTTTCCTTCACGGCCTTTGGCTTCTCCTCCAAACCTTTTCCCTCCCCTTTTAATAGAGATCAGAGCCCATTATTTTCTCCATGCTTGAGGCACATTAAAACCCACAGCTATTAAACTGTACTTGTTGCACAGAGAGAACCACTTTGAGTGCAACCTGAGAACCTCTGATGTTACAGCGAGGAAGAAGAGGAGGGGGATTAAGATGGCAAGACGTCCTTTCCACCGTCACTGTTGTGGGGTTTTTTTTCCCCTGATAATCCTATTTTTACACGTGCCTACCAGATGTTCCCCATATCACACTGGGTACAGCCAGATGGCTTCAGAATCCCTTCCCCACCGTGTGTGTGTCGTCAGCTCCTGATCATCTCACTGATGTGAAATGGCCCCGTCAGAGGGGCACGAGCTGCTCAGGGTAATTGCCTGCGTGTTCCCAAACATCTGCTCACACGTTCCCTGCTTTCCCAGCCCGCAATTCCTGGTGGGAGAGGAGTTCCCCCTCCGAGATGCCGACAAACGCCCGGTAATTACTGCAGGAGATCAGCAGCCTGTGCCACCACAGCTCCAGAGCCACCGTGCCCAGAGGCTCAGCTGCACACAGCCAGGCTCTAACAGAGTTACATCCTGCCACAGGGTAAAGGCTGGATTCCTGCATGGAGGGATGCAGGAAGGGATGGCCGAGCTGCTTCACGCCCCAGAAAGAGGCATTCGGAAAAGACACTTTGCACTATGACCAGAATTTGGGAATGCCTGTGCAGGGTCAGAGTCCTGTCACCTTGTAAAGCACGTCCAGAACCTCGAGGACATGATTTGGTGCAGATTTGAGACTCACTGCAGCCGTATCTTACAACAGAAAGAGCAACACTTAACACAAAACTGTAAGAAACACCGAAATGAAGAAGGACTTTAATCAATAGCAAGGGCTGATGAGTTTAGGACAGCTTTTTGATTCCCCAACAAGGTGAGGAAGCAGTGGTGGTCAGAAGTGCCCCTTCAGCTACGTTGGAGATGCAGCAAAGCCCTGAGTGCTGCCAGCTGCTGGTGCAGGAGCAGGAGAGGAGGCAATTTTAGGAAGCAAATGAAACAGAAACAGCAGAGCAGATCCAAAGGGATTCTTATTGACAGGCAAGTGATGGTATTAACAAGCTGGCAGCTCCCCTGGTGTCCCAGCCTCAGAGGAGAACTGGCAAATCAGCATCAAGAGGCATGTAAGAAGGGAAGGAAAGGCTCCTCTCTCCAAACCTCCCCATCCTCTTCCTCTCCCTGACACCCAGCCAAGAGAAGGGAGCCCAAACCCAAAGCTCTTCCCTACTCGATTTCCCTCTTGCTCAGACTGCCACTAGCAGGGCAGGTCTGGGAGGGCACAAAGTCCCAGTTCAAGTGGAGGTCAGGGACGAGGCTGTGCCTCAGAGGGGACAAATCCACAAAGCCACCATCTGGGACAGCCAGGCCCCTCTGGCAGCTCCTCCAGAGGGCTCGGAGCAAGGCCGGGAGCTTTGCCCACGGACAGCGGGGCTGCAAGGCAGGAGAGAAGGGAGAGGCCAAAGGGTGTCCACTGATATAATTGACTGCTCAACTAATTAAAATTCCTGGGCTGCTAATTGGGGCTGGGATCTGCCTGCTGAATGCCCCCCTCAGCGGCTCAGGCCAGAGAGAGGGGAGCCTGCATGGAAGAGAGGGATAAAGGTTGGGATGCAGCCGGGCCCCTCGTCAGGGCTGGCAGAGCCCAGAGCTGTTTTGTCTGACCGATAATAAGTCGCCAAATTACTTTTGACAAGTGAAGGGGATTGGAAATAATGGGGGTCTGTGAAAAGCCCAGGGCACAGAGGGGGGGGATCCATGAGATAATGAGGAGGCAAAGCCCTGACATGGCTGGGGGCTTCCCCCCTCCCAGCAGGAGGAGGCTGGGGAGGAGGCTGTGAGGGACAGCTGTGTGACAACATTTTCCAAGATTTGGCCTGGAAGGCTCTGCCTGAGCCACAAGTGAAGCAGGGACTGCCTGGAGGGGGTCAGCCTGGAGCTCCCAGGAGCACTTGGCACCCCTGCTCTGCCCCAGCTCCTGTTTTTAGGAGCTGTCTTCAAAAACCTCATGCTGCAGCACCAAAATCCCTGTGGCTTTTCCATCTCCCAGCCCAGGTTAGGTATTTCCCACGCATTGCCCAGGTGTGCCAGCAGCAGCTAGGACACCCCAGCTGCCCACCTGATCCAAATAAACTCCACATCCCTACAGGATCCAGGTGCTCCGGCTGCACCAGACATGGGAAATCAGCAATCAGACTGCAATAATTAAAGTGTTCATTTACATACCAATACCCCAGATATTCTCCACCTCACATCCCTTTCACAATGATGCAGTATCCAAATCTGGAGCACGTCTGAGTGCACACAGCCAATTTCTTTCTACTCAGAAAAAGAAAATAGCCTATTTTTTATTTTTTTTTCGTGTCAACATGCTCTGTGTAATATCCAGTGGGTAATTTTAGTGCCTAATGCAGCATTCACAGAATCTCTACACCTCCTGGGAGACCAGATGGATGCCCTCTTTGCCTTGATCTGGAGAATAAAAGTCCCTCTAAGACTCAGGAGGCATCCAGGAGATATAACTTGATTATTGGGAGCATGAGTATTGGGATACATTTGATCAAAACTGGAAAGAGAAGCCAGGATGCATGGCTTTTGAGAGGCTCACCTAGCAGGCAAAAATGCCATGGAAAGACAAAAGGCACCGGAATCAACATCGGGTTTCTCACTTTTCCATAGGATTTCACATCTATTCCATAACCATGGCTTTCAGGTTGTTTCTTCCAGAGGAAAATGCCCAACATCCTTGAGCTTGGTCTTCCTCACCCTCAGATACAGACCTGGGGGACCTTCTCCCCATTGTCTCCAGCCTTCATTTTCCCTTGGGAAGGGCTTTCCCTGGAGCAGAGCTCCCAAGGAGGACAGCTGCATGTGCTGCACCCCACAATTTTTCAGGGAACCTGATTGCTCACTCTTCTCCTCCCCAGAGATTCTGCCCTGGCAGGGACCGGAGCACAGGGGCAAATAAGCCCATTTTTCATCATTTCAGTGATTTTTGGGAAAGAGGAAGACATTACTTTAACCCCTGAGTGGCTGCAGGCCAGGGAGCTGTTGGATGCCACAGACATTTCCCAATGCTGCTCACGGCCTTTTTTCCAGCTCCATCCAGTTGGCTTCAAAAGCAGATCTCATGTTTCAGCAGCACTGTGGGGGGACCTCAGGAGGTGCTGACATACCAGTTTTTTTCCACATCAAGTAATACAAAAGGATAAAAACTCATGTTTTAGTGGAGTTTTTTTCCCCCCTTTTCTTCTCTAAACTTGGATTATGGAAGCTCCAGCTGAGCTCTCAAACAGGCACTGTGCAAGTCACATTCTCAGCTTCAAAGTGATGCAGCAGTTCATGGCAGTTCATTTGCTGCCTGGGTGTTTTTTAAGCCAGAGATTCCCAAAGGAAAACAGAACCTGATTCCCTGTTTCTAGCCCTCCTCTCCCCTGAAGGCCACCCTATTGACAGTGCAAAGCCATAACCCCCAAGCTGCTATTTGCTTGTATTGCCCTGACAAAACGCCACCAATTCAAGCTGGGTGAAGCTCTCTCCTGGACTCAGGGGCTTTAATTCTCAGGTCAACCTCTGATTTGTCCTTTTTGGGAGCAAAATAACAAAAGTGCTTTGAAAAGGAAGCTTCCTGTAACTGCAGTGGCAATGCTCCTTTCCTAGAAAGCCCTGAAAACCATTCTGTGTGTCTCGAGGTCTTCATCCCCCCATTTTTGGTACAGCAAATCTTCAAAGCCCTGATGGCTAAGCGGGGCTGAGGCCTGCCAGGGGCAGCAACATTCCCAGGTCCTGCAAAGGAGGAGAGAGGGCACAGAGGGGAAGAGGATGGGGCTGTGGGATTGTCTGCATTTTTCCTTAACAGTTTGGGGTCAAGCCTGATCCCCGGTGGGGTCAGCTCTCTTACAGGCTAACACGCCAGAGTCAAAGGAGACTGTGCTTCCCCGTGAGAGCCCAGCCAGGGGAGTCTCTGCAGCCCCTCCAGGAGCACCGGGGTCGGAGGTGGATGCAGAAAAGGGTGGGGAGGCCCCAGCGGGGAAAGACGTGACTGTGCCAGACAGGAAATCTCCAGGGCTGATGCACAGGACCTGTCCCCTGACCCATGCCTGGGCACCTCTCAGCACCAACATCCCTTCCCACAGAGCACTAGGCTGCATCCACCACCATGGGATCAGTGGGGCACGCGCTGGGAGCAGACTGGCATAGGAGGGAGGTCAAGAGTCACAGTAATCACCCAAAAATCGCCTTTCATCATCTACAGGATGCTCCTCACCAGCAAAACAACCCCGGAACATTGAAGTCATGGTGACTCTAGCGCATTTTGCAAGGTGTTGACACCTCTGATATGAAAGAAGGGAAGGAAATGAGGAAATCTACACAGCTGGACAATACCTAAACATGCCAGGCACCAGGAAGAGATCTGGGAAAAACAGCATCTGAAAGGGAGATGGAGAGAAAGGGAAGCTTCCCGTGCTGCCTGGCTCACATGGATGGAGCGGGATGCTCATGCAGCCAAAGGGAAAGAAGAGATAAAATAGGAAGATGTCAAAGTTATTTTTTTCCAGAATGTAAGCTCCATTACACAAGGCGAAAGGTGCGCATTAAGTGCAATAAAAAAAGAAGCTTTTATAGAGATGAATTTGTCTGCCCCATCCTCCTTAAACCAGAGGTTATAAATTGTGACAGATCATGTATGTTTTTGGGAAGCAAAGGCAGGAAAAACGAAAGGGAATTGGGGAATAGATCAAAATTCTCTGAGCAAAAGGCTTGGGAGGCACATTTACATCAGGCTTTTTCTTCTCGCCTGGGAGCTGGTGCCATTCTGATCCACAGGAGAAGGAAACTTCTCACCCTGTGTTCCGACAGCTCCTCGAATCCATGGGCTGTTCACAGATCCACAGAGGGGATGAGCTTAAAGCCTGTTGTTTGTGGACTTCAGATTATGAGAAGGGAGCTGCTGGAACGTGTTGTTATCTGCTCCCATGCATCCATCTCGCCGCAAACATTCCAGCACCACAATTCCACCGGCAAAGCTGCTCAGGAACAGCAGAGCTCCGAGCAGCAAGCTGGAACAAAAGGTAATCATTTTTATCTCTCCTCTTTCAAGTTTCTGCAACAAAAGCCTGTTCCTGTCTGGCCCAGGAACAGATCCGCCCGCCACAGCCAATCTTCAAATATTCCTGATTGACCTCAGCGTGTGAAATAGGCACCATTAAAGTGTTCTAAGAATAATTCCCAGAAATCATGAGTCACTGTCTGATTTCGTCAGAAAGGGCTAAAACGATTCAATTATTCACCATGAATTATTCACTGATAATTACACTGTAGTTAGCGATCTCCACGTAGACAGTTCATTACGAGCAAACCACTGGTGTGCAGTTAATATTTCACAAAAAAACCCCACTTTTGTTATTGAGTGTCATATATAATGAAGCAGAAATATTGGTGGCCATCAGAGGAAATCAGAGAGAGATTAAACGTGGAAGGAAAATGCTGCTATGTCTAATTCTCCAACAGCTCTGCCAAGTTCAGCACCAGGCCGAGCATCCCTTCTCTGGTTGCAGAGCCAGCCGGGATTGCATTCCTTGGAGAAACACGCAGTGAGGCGAGGAGAAACTGAGAAACTGAGCTGGCAACCACAGAGAAAACTCACCTTTTGCTCTTCTTTTGCTGATGACTGCTGGAAATCTTTCTAAATCCAGGCTCTCCAGGACTGCAGACGGTTCAGTTTTGCTTGTCCGCCTGCTGCTCACACAGAGCTATTTTGGCAACTGAGTTGCCATTTACCTGCCATTGCGCTGGCAGGGCTGGCACTAAAGCAGGCAGAGAGGAGAAAGCCACCCCGAGAGCTTCTCACCTGCCAGGGAAGTGGGGGAAAACTCATTTCTCCCACACATCCAAGCAGGGATTCTGGGTTTTGTCACAAGGAGCCAATTCAGCGTAGCTGAGCCAGCACCATCCTCCTGCAGAATAACCAAAATAGCCCTTAAAGTCTGCGGGGGTTCCACCCAAGGACATTTGTGCTCCCATCTCAACCAGCTGCTTCCCTTTCCTTTTCCCTCACCAGCTTGGCCTCAGTGGTGCTGGGATGCAGAAAGAGCCAGGGTGGCTCCTCCCCAGCCCAGTCCCACAGAGTCCATCAGGACAGGGTCTGCAGGAGCAGCTCCAGAACCCACAGCAGCTTCTGGAGCACCCAACACACTGCTCTCCCAGATAGCCACCCACAGCTCAGAGGTTCCAGACTCCTCTGGGAGGCTCTCAACACCCAGATAAAACCAGGTGCACGATGCTCTGAATATAAACTCCTTGTTTTGTGGGTCACACGACACAGCACAAGTGCTTGCCACAGGCAGGAGGACCACTGAGCTCCTAGCTCGGAAATGTCCCATTTTTTCCAGCTGTGCTGTTTCCTATCCCAAACAGATAAGAAATCACCAACTTTGGTTTGCATGACATCAGAGAACTACACAGGTCTCCAGGTTTCCCCAGTCCTTGCCATGTCTGGGAAGTTTCTTAGGGTACATTTTCCTGGCGGCAGCTCTTTGACAATAACACCTTTCAGGCACCCCCCCCAACCCCAGCTTGGGAAAAAGAAAGCAGAAAGTTATGTGTGAAGTGCTCCTGTGAGAAACTTTGACTTGGTATGAACAGGGAGACACTAGGGTCATTCCTGGGTCTCTGTGGGATTTTAGCACACAAGGCAGGGACTCCAAAAACCTATCCTTTTGAGCCATTCTGTGAAAGAACCACTTCCATACCTTCATCATCCTTCTTGCCTCTCCCCAAACCCTTCCCTCTCTTGCCAGAGTCACTGGCAGGCCACTCATGACACACATATACCCTCTGTCATGGCAGGATACAGTTTACCGTGTCATTCCTTGTTTTCCTAGCAATTCCTATCATTTTAGTCACTGCCTCTGACCAGCACTGCGGCCAGAGTTGATATTTTCATCCAGCCATCCATTATAACCACCAGATCTCATTGGCGAGTGGTAACAGCCAGTGCAGAGCCCATTACAGCCTGTATAAAATTAGGATTGTTTTCTCCCAGGTGAAAGCAGCACAAGAAAACAGACTCCCTGCTCAAAAAACACAAAGCTGTTGTCCCCATCCTTATCCTTAATTCTGCACTTTTGGAAGGGCCCAGTCATTTCCTTACTTTTTTTTACTTAGTTTGGCTTTTTTTTCTGGCTGAAACTCCTCACATTCCTGGCTCTTTACCTTGGGGAAGTTAAGGCAAAGGACTTTCAAGGATGGAGTCGTGGATAGCGTTACCTCAGCGCTGTGTTTTAAGGCATTTCTTGAGCTTTTACGCTCATCCTCACCCTTTTTCCACACCAGCATTGATTACAGCGGGTAATTGTTTTCTAATTGGCCTGCAGCTGCTTATCTATCTTAGATAATTAAAGTGAAGAAGAAGAACTAGAAATAAGGAAAGAAAACGGAACTTTACTCTTAAGTAGCTGCCTATTGACTGTCTCGATCGATGGGGAGGTCACTTTGGGCATGAGCGGGACACGTCCTTGACTGAAGCACACAACCTGACAGACCCAGGGAGGCAATTCCCAGCCTCTCACTTCTGCTTCTGCCAAGTCCCACCTTTATTCCTTCCCACACCACCCTCTTTGACTCCTCCAGCCCCACACCAGCACCTTGAAGGCCGACACACCCCCGTCAGTCTTCGCTTGAGGGGTGACACAACCGAAGTGCCACAGATTTATCTGGGCTGGCACAAACTCGGCGTCTCTGAGGTCTCTCCTCCCTTGTCAAGTTGGATTAAAACCAGACAACGAAAGTATTGACTGCTCAACCATGGGCCTAGAAAATCATTGGGAAGGGTGGAGCCAGAGCCCAGCGCCACGCACAGCCCGCCTGCCCTGCCCAGGGCCTCAGCATGGCAAACCCGCTGGATTCCAGCTCCAAAGCCATCCAGCCACCACCAGCTCTGAGAACCTGGCACAACAGCGCAGGTAACTCATCACCAGAGCTGAGGAGAGAAGCTAACAAGGGGCTGTAGATGAACGTCTTGCCAGAACTTGAGTTTTTGGGCGAGGTGTAAAGTTAAGAGTTAAGTCCTTGGAAGAGCAGAAATGCTGATTACCTTCCATCACCCACCTCTCACAGCTTCCAGTTCCTGTGTGCATCACCCAGAGACCTCAGTGCAGCCACACTTCCAGCATTCCACTTCCAAAGATCTCCTGGTGAACTAAGGAGGCTCTCTTCAACCAGCCACAAAGAAACCCCACATTACATTCTCCTAAGCACAAAAATTCAGAACAGATTTCAGCAGAATTGTTTTTTTAACTAAACTATACAGTTTTATTTGCTCTCCCTCCCTCACCTCCCCTACAAATCATACTGGAAATGCTCCAAGCAGGAACCTTCTTTGTGTCTGTGCATGTTAAACTTCCAAGTACATGCTAATTCAGTTTAATTACGGATTTACTTCACTGGTTGCATTGCTAATGCCAGAAACAGCCAATATTTGCAGCCAAGGAAATGAGGAAAAAGGAGAGCAAGGTTTTCCATGCTCGTGTCCCTCTCAAGCCCCATCCCTGCATCCTCATCCTTTCAGAACTTGCTGTGCAGGAATACTGTAAAGATAACCTGCTCTTTATTTGTACAATTTATTAGATAATCTCCTTCTAATCGAGAACTAATTAAAGGAAGTGAATGCTTGGTTGGAAACAGGGATTAAAACATGGATAATTACCATAAACGCTACATTTGTTGTTCCAGCCTGCTCTGTTCTCCTCCTCCCTTGTCCCTTTCCCCCCAGTCCCTCTCCCAGGCTGCTCCTGATAATGCTCAAACTGTCTCAGAGGGGGTTTGCTTTCACAATCTATTATTTTCTTTTTTGTCTCCCTGGCTAATGTGTCGTTTGTGTGAGAACATTAACGAGAAGTATTTTCTTTTCCTTGTAAATTCATTTAGACGACAGTGACAGAAGGTGGGGAGGTGGCAGCTGTAGGGAAAAAAAAAAGAGGAAACAGGAACATTAAACCGAAGCTTATAAATTATTTCATCTTCTCCAGACAATCCAGATCTGTCACTGCTCTGTGTGCAAGGGGAACCTTTTTTTTTTCAATAATTTTTTTGTCCAAGAGTTCCTCATAGGCACGAGACACTGATGTATGTGGGAGGCTGACGAGAGAGTCTCAGAGCAGCTTTTTTCTGCCTGCTCGCCTGCCAGAGCTGCTGCTCCACTAGCAAGGACCACAGCCACTGAGGTCTCATCAGACAGAGTATCTAGGTCACAGCCAGCCAGGAAAGACTTAGTTTTACTGGTTCTTTTTGGCTAAAGCACATTTTTAAGCCTGTGTCTGCACAGGCAGAGCCCATTGCTTTGCTGCAGTGCCCGTGCAGGAGCACTTCTTGCTTGAGCAAAGATCCTGAGGAGCAGGAGGTGGCTCAGGTCAAGCCACACCACCTTCAAGTGAGGATTTTTAGCCACTTGCATTGCCTGACGTGAGGCTCCATTCCCACAGTGATGTCCTGCAAGCCCAGCGGATGGCAAGGACGGATGCCACAGGATTCAGAGCAGCTCCTCTCTCCCTGGATCAGATATTAACCATCAGAGCATAAATAATTACTCCTTTAAAAGTGGCCTAGCAGGATAAAAGGTGGAAATGAGCACAGGTCCCTCAATAGCTGGATGCCAAAACAAGACAGTGATGTTGGAACCATGGCCAAGATCACAATATGTCGGACAGTTTTTGTGACTGGCTTGTTTATCGCTTAATTCTCAACAAAAGTGCTAAAAGCAAGAAGTGACAGGCAGATTTTACTTTATTCCTAAGGAGGAGAAAGGCTGTTCCTGCCTAACCCATACCCTGGCATGTCACAGTCCAACCTGATGGCGTATCACCCTCAGTCAGTCCCAGGAATTTTAATGGAAGGGGTGCCTAAGGGGTGAGACAACCCCTAGCTGGGAAAATACACAGTCCTTTGAAACACCGGCATTTAATCAGCTTAATTTTGCCTTGGGTCATTTTATTGCTTTTCCACCAATCCTAGGAATAAGTGACACTCCAAGGGGCTGGCTGTGTACCACAAAGGGCGTGGAGGGGGTTTCCTGTTCAAGGCCAGCATCTCTCACACCACCGCTGCCACCAGGGATTGTCCCCACTAAGTGGGGACAGCAAAACAGCCCCTTGACAAAAAGCACGGGTTTTGATGCCCGTCCACTCCACTGCTTTAGGGAAAACATCTCTGACTTAAAGCCAGGCTCAGCTTTGGCACAATTTAAACCAGACCCAGCAGAGATTTCCCCCCGCGGATCAGGGAACTCCCGATTCCTACCCAGCCCGGAGAAAAGCGCTGTGTACAAACACGCGGGGCGTTAGCAAGTTGTTAGCTCTGAGAAATTGGAACTACTCCATTTCAAAGAGATATGTAATGCATAAGCATCTGGGCTCATCTATCTTTCTCATCATCCCTCCTGCCTTGAAGGAAGGTCTTGCTCTCTAAGAATCTAGACAAGAAAAACACTCCAACAAAATGAAAAGCAACCTGGCTGGTGACATACATAAAAGATGACATCTCCAGAAATCCCAAACTTCAAAGGGGCAGCTTTCAGCTCGTGAATATCCAGTCCCTCCAGCCCTCAAGGCAAGTGTCATAATTCTACAGCCACGGGAATCATTTGATCTCTCCAAATGGCAGCCCAGTGGTCTGGCACACTTCTGGATGTCAAAAAAAGTCTGCACTGCCACCAGCAATATTCTGCAGGGGTTGGTCTCTGGAAGGACAGATTGAGGTGAAACAATCAAAAGAGTCGGTGGCAGCAGGAGGAGGGAGGGGAAAAGGGTACTTTGAAGGACAGCCACAGGCTGAGGGACTTTGTGGCCTGGTTTGTGCGGGTTTGATGGCACAGGGAGATGTCAGAGGTTCCAGGGTGTGCCGGCCATTCCGGTGTGGTGAATGCACATTCCAAGGGCTTTCCCCATCTCCCACAACATGCTGTGGCTCATGTTTACAGGATCAGGGAGAGCACATGGGACTGGTCACAGGAACACAGGTCTTGTCCTCCTCATGCCAGCAGCACAGGGAAACCTCTGTCCTCCTCCTCCAGAACACGCCGCAGGTCCCAGCCCTCCCTCACGACATTCCAGCAGTGGCTGAAGGCGAGGGGACACAAGAAGCTGCCAAGATAAGCAATTGGCTGCTTGCTGGTGAGAACTCTTAATTAGAGGTTTTTCAGCAAGGAAACGTTTATAGGGAGTTAATGTATTTACTTTGATGCACACACACTGTAATAAACAGGCACCCTTCCTATGCTCCAGCAATTAAAGCAGTGTATTGCAAACAAACACAGACACCAGCTCCCACGGATGGGCTCCCACAGCTCCTTTCCCCATGGCCCAGAGCATCCCTGAGAGATGGGAATGGCCCCAGCTTTCCCAGGACAGTGCCATGGGTGACCATGCTGCTGGAGTAGGGTCCCTTAGTCCAAGTGGGTGAGAAACTTTCCCCCATCTAGCCTGGAAAACAATAAATTGAGCCTAGTTTTCATATTGCAGACTGGGGAAAACAGCTCCTTCGAAGCAGGGCACTGGATTGTGCTCTGGCTGCAGTTTCTGAACAGATTGGAGCTGCTGCGCTGCCACAGTTTAATAGAGTCAGTGTTTATTCCTGTGTGGGAGAAACACTCCATTATCTGGCTTATTAATTGTTAGTTAAGTAATGGGAAGGTGCCCAGAGCAGGAGATGACCCCCTCATCTCTCGTTATTAGCTCAGAAAGCAGCAGAAATAAAATAACTGGAGATAAATTATCCCAAGCGCTGCCCCAAGTACCGCAAACTGACAGATCTGCTCAGAGGGGAATTCGCAGAGAGCTCTCTGGGGGGAGCGGGGAAGAGATAGCAACAGCCAGCCCAACTGGAGATTTCTTTCTTTAATGAAAAGATTTCATCATCTTTGATTCTGAGCACCACTTTTCATGGCTGGGATCACATGGATATTCATGGCTGAGAAGGTACCCCCGCTCCTGTAGGAAAACTCAATTTATTAGTCTATCACTGACAGCGAGACAGGTTTTGCATTGGCAGCTTAATGCTGCACAAGATGAGTCCTTTTTTTATTAAAAAAAGCAACATGCAGCTGCAAACAGTCCAGTCTGGTCACTGCAGGGCTGTGATAACCTCAAAAAAAAAACATAGGCAACCCCATTATCTGCAAGATGGGAGTCTCCACAAAATGAATTTAACAAGGACAAGCAGCCACGAAATCAGCAATAAAAAGATACAAGACTCTGCCTTGAATCCCAGACAGGTGAAAACACCCAACTTTGCTCAACATTTTAACAGCTCCCACATCTAAGCAAGTAAAATTTCAGCAGCATCCACATTCATTTATCCCAAATCCATCCTTCAGGAACGATAATTTGCTGGTCCCTGTGCAGGGGATCAGCAGAAGTTGCCATTCATTTATCAGACCCACAATTCCATAGGAAAGCAGAATACCACGATCCACAGAATGAAGAAATTTAGCTAAACTAATGTGTTTTGTAACCTAACTCAGGAGAAGCAGAGTTAAAACAAAAAGGAAAGAGAGAGCTGCTCTTCCTTGCAGCCAGTTGCCTGGAAAACATCCCAGCAGCTTTTCTACAGCACATGTAGGGTTTCTACTGCAGTTCTGGAGGAAGATACAGGGGGGAAAAGGATAGGCCAGGAACCTGAGCCAGAATCAGCAGCACATTGACAAATCCTAGGAAAGCCAAAGCTTGGGTCAAACCACACGCTTGGAGCTGAAATTGAACCAAGGCTATCGCCTGATTTGGGAGAGCACAGAAGCACCTGAGGCAGCTCTCCACACTCTGCTCCCCAAGGAGGCACCAAAATAGACATTCATGGATACTCCAGACTGAGGGTCCAGCCCCAGATTTCTTCTTCCCTGGTACTTTAATCAGAATTTAATAACAGAAACACAGACAGGTTTGGGTTGTAAGGGAACTTAAAGCCCACCTGCCATAGGCAGGGACACCTTTCACTAGAGCAGGTTGCTCCAAGCCCTGTCCAGCCTGGCATTTCAAGCTTTTTTCACGACTTCACAGGATCACCAGACACCAGTGTCCCTAAGGCAGTAAGCTGTTCTCATTTCAGTCTCTGTCTGTGAAGCTTTCCTCCCAGCTGACACTCAGCAGCCCAAAGTCACCCCCACAACCCAAAAAAAAGTCCTGCTCACGCCACAAAGTGCTTTCTTTGAAGAAGTTCTACAAGACTTGTGCAACTTTGGAGCCTTATCTCTTCAGATAAGCATCTGTTACTCCACGTTTCCTTTAATCCCTTCTAGAAATACAGCAATAAGCACATTTTCATCTGCATCCTGCAACAGAGCACCCCAGATCCAAGCTCACTCCCAAAAGTATTTGTTTGTGAGAGAAAAGACTGCCAGCTCCTAGCCCTAGAGAACTCCAAAATCATTGCATCTGCCTCAGCCTCTTCACTTTCTTGTGTGTCTCAAGTCAAAACAGAAGAATTCCTTAAGAGCAGCAGCCCCTCTGAGAAACTAATTACCTGCAATCTGCTCCCGCACCCACAGACTCCAAATATTGCCTACCTGCCATCCCAAGTTCTTGAGTTTCCTCCAACTTCAGCTTCCAGATTAAAGCAGAAAACTCCAGGAGTGCCTGGTTTCTGTAAGCTCTTGCAGCCACGGAACTGTTCACAGGTGGGCTAAGCAAGGCAGCCCAATCAGGCCTCCCTAACAAGAGCCTTTCATTTAAGTGGATCCAGGTGTACCTTCCCATTGCTGGAGGTGCTTCCCTCGCTGCATCTTCCCAGAGAGAGCACTCCACCTCTAAGCTGCTTGTCACTTGAAGAATGCTTTGCAAATGCTGTATTTTCCTGCCCCTATCTCAGAACTTGGAGGGTCTGTAACTCATCTGAAAGCACTGGGGTTTGAAAAGGAGCTGTCTGTTTGTGGGGGTGACCTGATCACACAGAGGTAGATGAGTTTCAGGGGAGGTGAAAGGAGACAGACAAGGCAGAGAGAAGTTTTCCTCGTGCTATCTCTGCATATTGATCACCTGGGTTGTTACTGCATCGTAGGGCACCATTGTGAGGGGGTTTGTATATAAAAATAGAGCACCTGCCATCAAGAAGGCATTGCCTAAGAAGGGTTTTTTGTGAGAGCATGGAGGGATAGGATTTAGGATAAATATTAGGAAAAATTCTTCCTGTGAGGGTGGGGAGGCCCTGGCACAGGGTGCCCAGAGGAGCTGTGGTTGCCCCATCCCTGGAAGTGTCCAAGGGCAGGCTGGACAGGGCTGGGAGCAACCTGGTCTAGAGGAAGGTGTCCCTGCCGATGGCAGGGGGTTGGAACAAGATGACCTTTTAAGGCCCCTTCCAACCCAGTCTGTTCTGGGATTTTGTGTTTTTTTTCCTGGATACAGGCTGCTCATGAGTGCTCTGATCTCAAATAGGAGCATCTCCCTGGCTGCACACTCACACCTTGCCTGTGGAAGGTGATCCCATCTCTCTGGCTTCTCCCTTCCTAGCTTTGCTGGCTCAGCCTCTGGACTTGTGCTTAATAAAAAAGGGGTTTTTCATCATTCACAGACATTCAGTGGTGTTCCTGCAGGTTCAGCTGTGTCCCTCTGTAATTCCATTCCCTTTGCAAGTCTCTTCTCCACCATGCTGGGGATGAGAAGAGCTGCACTGCAGTGAGTTTGTGCTAAAACTTTTTGCAAGGATGTAGCTTAATTGGCTGACAGGTAGAGCTGGAGAGCACTAAAGACACAGGGAGGACTTCAGCATTGGAGGTGGAGCAGGATGGGTGCCAGGAAAAAAGCGCCACGACAAAAGGAGCTGCCCCCAGCTCTTCCTCTCACTGCTCCAGAGTCAGTTTTGTCTTGGAGGAAATTCTCACGTACACGGTGATTTTTGTGAGAGGCAGGGACCAGAAAGGTAGGCAGGAGTGAAAATCAATCAAGATTTGTCAAATACGCGGGAGAACTCATTTTTATGAGATAAGTGCCTTCAGAGGAAGCGTTGGTAGACACCTACCACATGTTCAGCCTGCTTAGTGGCAAAGTATGCACCATTAATCACTGTCACTCCAAGGGGCCGGCTTCCCACTGAACCATCTCCCAAGTTTCTCCCTCTTTCAGCCATCCCCTGCCCTCCCAGGGAGATGAGTTGCATTCACAGACCTGTGAGCCTGCAAATCAGGCTGATGCTCTTGGCAGCTGCCGTACCAACCCTTCATTTATTTGGCGCTGAGCCGCCCACTGTGCTTCGGTTCCGCTGCGTGGATGCTCATTTTATTCAGGAGGATCAGCAGTGTGGGCCCAAACTGCGGTAGAGGAGCTGCTGCTTCTGAGCAGGTGAAGCCCATGTGCTGCAGGGGGACCTTGCCCTTGGAAGCAGCCAGGAAGGGACAAAGTGGGTGGTTTGGCAAACGCCCTCTGCTCAGAAAAAGCAGCAGCAGCCAGGGGAGATGGTTTGGTTTGACTGGCTGAGCACTCAGGAGCTCTGAGGAAAGACTGCCTTGAGAGCAGGAGCAGACCCTGGGACAGAAGAACCTTCAAGGACCTGAGTTGTCTGAGGAAGGGAGTAAGTGATTTCCTTTCCAGACATTTACTCTAACCTCCTCCACCTGCCCCCACTCCCCAGTTTATCACTGTGGACCACCATAAGCTGCTGTGAGGCTTTGTGCTGTCTTTCACCCATCCTGAAGATGAGTGAGGAGATTTCACCACAGCAAGTGACCAAGAAGACCAAGAGCCCTAAGGGATATTCACAATAGACTCCTCTTTTTCCATGTGTCAACCCATTTTCAGGCTGAGATTTTTTTTGTTGTTGTTGTTATTTTTTTTGTTTTGTTTTGTCGTACTGCAAATCTTATTCCCACATTTTAATAGCCTGAATTAAGGGTCTCAGCTCTTATTTTCAAGGTATAGCCCCGGGCAGTCATGTTGATAACTCCTGCTGGGTTAAATATTGCACCTGGGGAGTGGGGAAAACTGGTTTGTGGCAAGAGCTATGAAGAGCCCATGGATTGTTATGAGGAGGAGAGAAAGAAATGGCTGGCAAAGGCATAAAAAGATCCTATTTTCAGGTCTTAAGCCAGTTACCATCTTTAGGGATTAGCTGCACGGAGGGAGCAAATTGCCCTAAACCCTCCTGCCACGGGGCTCTGCTCTGCACCCCTGAGCTGCCACAGGATTAGGGGGAGACAGCATCCACAGAGGGCTGTTCCTTGCAGCAATCCCAAAGCCTCCTGGCCAGGCAGGATTACACCCCTCACTCGATTTAACAGAACCACAGAGGGGCAGCAAGGACCAGAGACCCACTTGACACTGCCCCAGTCACAGAAAAGCTGCTGAGTCAAGAGGTGCCAGCTCTTGCTGACCCAGGCTCAGTTTCCCAGGCAGGGCTTGTTTCCTGCTTCCCCCCTCACCCCTTCACACACATTCCCCATCTCTGGAGAGATTTCTGGAGGGGCAGCTGCCAAGGCTGGGGTGTAAGAGGCTCCTGAGATTCTGTTGCAGGTTGGAAAAGGAGACCCCAGCCAGACACAGGGAGGCCCAAGGAGTCTCTGGATCTCTTCTAGAGGAGGGAGGGATTCAACTTCCAACCCACAGATCCCCATGGCAGGGACTGCTGGTGGCACACGCCACAAATGTGAGGGAAACTGGGGTGAGATCCCCAGAAAACAACAGAGACCAAGAGAAATGAGGCCAAGCAAAACCTCTGCTCCATCCCTACCTCACCCTTTCAGGGCTGTTTTACAAAGGAGTCTGCAGAGTCACAAGAATCTGAGCTTTTTGGGTTATAAAGGGCCCCTATTCCCATGCCAGGGATGGCACCAAATCCAGCTTTCCAGAAACTCCAGACTGAGGGCAATCCAAAATTCTATTCAACAGCTTGTAGCAGTAAAGGAAATCGAGGACATAGAGCTTAATTTTATATGGCTGATGTCAGCAGATGAATAAAAGCTCATGGCATGACTCTGTGCAAGTCCAGGGCACCAAAAAACCCCACAGAAGATGGATTCTGAGGTTATTGAACAAGGACAGAAGGAAGGAGGAGGGAAATTAATAAAAATCAGATTGCTAATGCCCCAGACTGCTTTGCTCTCATCCTAAAAAGCACAAAGAATCTGAAAATTGGGTGGAGATAACCAGCATTAAGTCAAGGTTTTTAACTTGGGTTTGTGTTTCTTTCTCAATTCCTACACTGGAGAAAACAAAAAGCTTTTGAATGTTATATATACAAACATTTTTTTATAGCTTCTTGTTTTCTTTTTTGCTTAGCACAGAATAAAAATTTGACTCCTACATCAAACCCTCCAGAGCCCAGCCAGTGAATTCCCCAGCCAAGGTTATCTCATGGCTTATGGACTATGAAAGAAACGGATTGTGGTAGAAATCACAAAACCTGACTTATTTCTGGGTGCAGGAGTTTGAAGGGACCAGCTGGGGTTGTGGTACCTTCTGGCTCTGTCTGGCTGCAGAAAGGGACAGGCCAGGATGAGCTGAACTCTCGTTATCATCCACAGGCACGGGAGTAGTTCTCAAAGGGTGGTCAGAGGGATGCTGCCACCACCTCCCAGCCTGGATTGCTTCCTTCCATCAGAATTTGGTGACACCCCCAGCCAGAGCTGGCAAAAGAGAGGGTGAGAGCACTCCCTAATCCGCTGAAGTACAAACCACATCGTTAAACCTCAGCAGCTTCTCCCCAGCCCTTCTGCTCAGAAACCAGGGATTTAGGAAAACAAGAAGCTCACATCTTCAGATACAAGTATTTATTTGCAGGTGCTAAATGATTTCTTGATTAATTCTGCAACCTGCTGCTCACTCTCTGTTCGGTGTTTCACTGACAAAGTATTTTAGCTCGACAAAGAACTTCCAGGCTGGATTGTGCCTGGTGTGGGCAGCAGGGCAGTAATTGGCTTCAAAAACAAAACAGTGAGGGAGAACATGAAACTAATCTGAAACCCTTTAAGCCAAATAAAGGTTTTGCTTTACCATTGGCGCATGTCTAAACTTTTCCAAGCCTAATAAAAAAGCATTATCACTGCAGCAGATGTTAAACACGAGCCTTGCTTCAAGGGGAGGGGGGGGAAAAGAAAAGAAATGACCTGCCTGTATATACAGGTACCAGAGCAGGCTCTCCAATTCCAGACTTTCACACCCCTCTGTTTTACAGTGGGATATCACCAAAATTGCAATGACAATACAAAGAGAGCCCACAAGAAAGATTTGCAAGTGACAGGAAAGAGGGGAACGATTTTCAGCTGAAAGAGGGCAGTGTTAAATGGGATATTAGGAAAAGATTTTTCAGTGTGGGGGTGATGAGGCCCTGGCACAGGGTGCCCAGAGAAGCTGTGGCTGCCCCTGGATCCCTGGAAGTGCCCAAGGCCAGGTTGGACAGGGCTTGGAGCAGCCTGGGATAGTGAAAGGTGTCCCTGCCATGGAATGAGGTGATCTTTAAGGTGCCTTCCTTCCCCATCATTCCATGATCCTGTGGATAGGAATGGCTATCCCAGCCTTATCCAGCAGCCCAAACAGGATTTGAACACAAGATCCCTCAGCAGATTGTCTTCCCAAGTCCCCAGCCTTGCCAATTGCTCCAAGGAGCACACAGCGAAATCTGCAGCAGATGCAGCATTCCTGGAGACAGTAACACAAGGTAAACCATTACATCAGGCTCCTGCCTGCCAGGGAAAAGCC